GACATTTTGAAATTTGGTATGTTCCTACCCTTTCGAGGCATGAGACCCGATACAGCCCTCCGCTATGTCTTATCAGGCTTGGCCGAAGATGTGGTTTCCTTAGCCTTTGATCCTTCCGAGGGTGGGGGCATTGATGTTGGCAACGTGCCACATGGTGAAGAATTTCCTCTCGTCGTGTATTGCTCTCTGTTGACTTATTTTAGTTCTGCCCTTTGCAAGGGGTTTCATGCTTTTGGCAAAATGGGGTCGACACTGTCTCTAGGTGGTCTGCCGGCGGTCGTCTGAATAAGACGTCTATGCTTTGCGCCACCTCCGATGGTACATATCTCGACGTCCTGGCCCGAGCTCAGACGGGCTGTATCAAGAGAATGGTCTTTGTGGAGATTTATCATTTGGAATTCGCCAGGGATTCGGGATGCAGGAGCGATTTTGTCCGTTAGTCCGGACCGCCCCATTGACTTTGGTCCGACATCATTGTTGTACGTGACTGAACCACCTGAATTCATGAACACATGTTTTATTTAAGATAAATCAAATGAGGGAGAGGGTTACCAATGCGTCAGTGTGACACCGAGGTGAAGTCTCGGTGCCCTTTTCCCTGGATGTAAGGGTGTCCTCCGGAATATTTCCCTGGACCCGTTTTTCACTGACGGCAAACATTTTCACTTTCCTTTTTATGAGTCCTCAGAGGGTGTCGCTGCTCTTTCACTGTTGTGGTAATACGTCGTGGCTTGTTCGCTTTATCCTTCCTGGTTGCCTTCCTCCCTTGGGGTTGGACTCGAGTCTGACCGCTCGATGGTACTCAACGGTGATTTTTATTGAGTAGTACGGTTGTCATCCTTCTGAGCCGGTGGCCATTTTTAACCCCGTGACCGCGCGCGCCCTGCAGTTCCTACGCCGGGTTGTGGTTCCTTTGAAAGGTTCTTGGTCGAATAGGCCTGAGTTGCTCAGCGTTCCTGGTTTTTCTTATGGTGATCATGATATTTGGTAAAGCAATGTTGAAATCGTACTCTACTGGGCAGGGTTCCTCTGCCGGCTGTGCCTCGTTAGATCCGATTCCACTAAAGGTTCCTCGAGGATGTTGCCCTATTTCCCTACCGTTGCGAGGTAGGCTGCATCTTGTGGCATCCCTCCCATTCGCGGTGCATGGATGGTACCTCCATCTGTTTGGCATTAGTTTCTTTGCTGGGAGTGTGCTTGGGGGCCCGTAGAGGCTCCTGGATGGTTGTCCATGGCCCTAATTCGTGGCCGGTGCCGGGTACGGGCATCCGACCAGGTCTCGGCTGGGTATCTGATTAAGTTTTGTTTTAAATGACCTGGAGTCATCGGGCATGCTTCGTTTAAACTTTGGGCAAAGGCCTGGGCTGCCCAGTCATCCGAAATCGGGAGCGATCTCATTCATCCTATCAGGGAATGAGGTGCGACTTCGTGTGGTGTTTCACACTCTCTTTGTTTGGCCTCAGATGTGTCGGGCTCTTCCGTTACTACTTCGATGGCATCAGTGTGTGCTCCTACGGAGGGATCTGCTGATATGGTAAGTAGTTTGTGAGGTCAGGCGCTAGGCTGCGGTGCCACATCATGGTTTCTTTCGAGAGTGTTTCCCGAACTTTTTCAATGAGACGGGATCAAACTCATCATCTTGAAGGTCGCTACCTTTTTCCGCGCATGTGTAAGCAGTGGTGCACTCATCGTGATCCGAGGTCCTGTCGTACCTAGGGAGTTTCGTCGTTCCGAATTTTCGTGAAGCAGGTTCTGGGACCGCTTCCACGGGAGATAACTGTTGCATGAACCTCCACAAACCGGACACGATTCTCTTGGAGAGATCCTCCAGCGTCTTCGTTGTGGCAGGGTCTGTTATCAATTCTGTTGTTGCTTGATCTTTTGGGTACTCATTCGGCGCAGGGAGCTGTTTCCGGCGCTACTGTGCTAGGGATCCCCGGATGGCGCTACAACTAAGCGATAGCCAACTGCTGTGCCTGCAATATTTCAAAAATGTCATGAAGACTAACTACCTATGTTTCCTGAGCCGGGGTTTGTTGGGCTTCTTATTGGTCGATATGTTAAATGCTCCCATCGGTGCGCGAGGCCTCATCGACCTGTTGTGCGCCTCGCGAACCTGCGTCCGCTGGAATTAGCCTAGATGCATTATCGGGGTTCTGCGGCGTCGTGCCAACCACTGGAACAGCCTCACCATTTCCGCCGTGATTTTTGGGGTAGTCATTCTCAACTCTGTTTACCGAGCCAGATATTTTGACCTGAAATCAAGAGATCTTTGGACAAGAAAAAATGTGAAAGATAGCATGCGTTAGTGCAATGGAGCTAGCAAGAAAATAATCACTATTATTATTAGCCCCACAGTGGGCGCCAAACTGTTTTCCGTGAAAATGGTAACAACAATTAAATTTATAAATGGGATTCTAAAAATACATGATCTATTCACAAGTTAGTTGTTAGAGCAATTGATGCTAATAATATGGAGTTTAATAATGAAATGTAAGCTAAAATGAGATAGTAATCGAACCGAAGGGCCTGCTGCCGGGTGTAAGTCTGGTCGATGGGGGACCTCAGAGTCGAGTTCGAGCTATCGAGGATAATCGGAAATGGGATAACAACTAAGTATATAATCAAACAAGGCTATTTACAGCCAATACTGAGCTATATAAGGAAGAGCAAGTAAGAGAACGATAGATATAAGGTGGCATCGGGCCAGTGAGAACAAGCAAGTTAGAAAGAAGAAAGAGAGAGATATTATTGCATTTGTGGAGAAAATGGAGCAACATCAGCCCTTTACAAAGTAGGGTGAGTCCCCTTTATATAGGAGGGGAACTCAGCTACGAGTACGTGGGCATTAATTACAAAGTTTGGAGATGGGATGGCTTGATGCGATGCCTCAGCATAGGCTCTGGTTAGGCCGCCCCTGTCAGACTCAACCGTGTGCCTTGGGAGCTTCCCCCTCTGTCCTGGCTTCGATATCTGTCTTTTTGAGTCGGGCCTCGATGATCCCCGAGGTCGGGAACTCGACCGTGGCTTCCTATCCTTGGGGTCTCGAGGTATTCTTGCGAAATGACTTGAGAGAGAGAAATCAAATCCTCTAATTTCAACGCGTACATGTATCACTATCTACAAAGGAAGCTGAATAAGTGGCTCTCGCATCAGCAGCATAATAAGTTTTTTGGTTGAAAATGTTCTTGGAACACTTGTTGGATATTGTAAGAAATATTGAACAAGTGTAAGTCTACTATATCAATGAAGCTGCAATAACCTCTACCAAGGACCCTAAGTTTCATTATAAAACCAAACACATAAATATGCGAAAGACATGGTTAGACGCAAGGTAGTGAATGTGAAGTATGTGTCTACAAAAAAATATGTTAGTAGATCTATTGACCAAGCCTTTGTCTAGAGATCGAGACATATTAGGTCTCAAGGCTTGCGTAGACTCTGCGTTACTTTATTTCATTATTTATTTTCCCGTGTTCACAAAACTGATATTCTTTGATTATCAGTAAAGCTTATTTTCATACATACATATTTATATTGTTGAATGTTATGTGCATTCTTTGTTCCTACATTTTTTTATAAGTATGTTAGGTAGAAAAGAGGTTGGCCTTTCACACAGGCAACCACCTCCTTATATTAGTGATGTGAGGAGATGAGACATGAATTTAAGAAAAATTATCAAAAGGATAATTTGAGAGCTATTCACTTAAAATCAGAATGTTACTTAAACAATGACATAAGGTCATTAGGGTGAAAAATGTTCACCTAGTCTACTCTGTGAGCCAGATATGAGTTAAATATGATATTTTAGATTAAGAAACTCAAATTTAGATACTTATAGTGTCCAAATATCACTTGTACAAATTCTTTATCAGATAAACACATAAGCTCTTTGGAAAAAGGGAGAAAATGCTATAGCACGTGTTTTATACCATGTGTGCTAATATTGACTAATTGGGTTAATATAAGTCCACTCGCAACTAATTGTTGTGTGAGACCTAGAGCTTTTATGAAGGCTCAAGATTTTTACCCTCAAGGACTCTAATTAGATACTTGAGACTTAGTGTGATATAAGCTATCTTAGTGAGTTTCCAAAGGAACCTGAACACAGTTTTGGTCTAAGGGAGAATATCTAGAAAAGCAGTCAAACTAATGTTGAAGGGATTATGAGAAGAGGAAGATTATTGATGGAATTTCATTTATTTGTGTTCACTGGTGCACTAGATATAAATTATGAGTCAAGATTGTGAATACAAGAAATAATGATATATGAGATTTTGAGATTATATCAAATGTGATTCATATGATCTAGTTGTACTGTATACTTTATGATCTACTTGTAGGTTTGTACTTGACAAGATGTTATATACTCCTAACAGATGTATAACACTTAGGTCTCACAATATGTTGGTCGCATGGTCTACTTCCCTGTATGCATGATGTTATACCTCATTTTAACACGGGTCAAATTAAAGTATAACATATTGGTAATTGAGGTTTAATTAATTAAAGAGAATCGCCACCTAATTATTTTAAAGGTGAATTAGAACACCTATTATAGCTAAGTAATGCTTAAAATTAACTCTGTTTTTATGGTCTGCTTAACCTTAAAAATTTTAGGTAAGGGTTCTAGTTAATCCTATAGGGAAGGTTGTTAAAGCACCCTATATATATATATATNAATTAAGAAGAATCTGACTTACGATTTTGGAAAACGGTCGAAATTACCTTTCGAAAACAAGTTTTACAAAGAAGTCATTTGCTGCTAACAAGTTTTTAAATCTAAACTTATAGGTGTTAAAGAAAGTATAAGAGTGGAATTTCAAGAACGTCCCTGGTTTAAGATGCTATCTCCAAAATTAAGTACCTTATAAGAAAACATTAGTATAGTAAAATGTTATTAATTAAGCTATTATTTTAAATAGTCCTTAAAATAGGCGTGGTATTCCTAGTGATAAAATAAGTACGATACTCATAAATAAGGTGAGAATACTAAGTGATTAAATAAAACTCAGCTATTTCTTATATAATAATAATAGGCTCCAACATAAAATTTTAAAAATTAAGAAAACACAAAAAAAGCAAATCGAAAATTACAAATATTAAGATAAAATAAGTGGTAGGAACAAAAAGAAGGACGTCATAGGCGCCCCCAAGCGTTTCGCTTGTTTTTCTGCTATCCAGTACATTCTAAGGATATATGTCGTGTATTGACTCTATCTGGTGGTGATGAGACTCCATCTTTACGAGTCTCGAAGACTCCATATGCGGGTATTGGAGTCTAGCATTAAGACTCCATTATGCTTCAAAGTGTACTTGTAAAGGAAGAGAGAAATAAAAAATTAGCAAAATAACGTACGAGTTCAATTAACATATGCAAGGATAAGAAGGATTAGAGAGTGGAACTTGATTCTTAACAATATATCAAGAATAAAATATGCAAAGCCGTCCTAGTGTCAAATTGTTTTATGAAATTCTAGCCATACTTCTTGTCATTAGACAAACACACAACTATAGGAAAGATAAATATTTCCAGCTATTTATTTAGACTAGTAGCAAAAACTCTCAAATGACAAAAATATAAACTTCCAGTGATAATCACACAGCAACATGAACACATTTCATCAAGACGTAAATTTTATTTTAACAAAGTCATCGACATTTTTAAATCCAAATACTAACTAGTACAAAGAAATAGGCACAAAAGTTCTATAACTATGTTTCCTAAAGAAAGAATTTTGGATACCTAATACTAAAGTAAATCAAGTCTTCTCTTAACAGTGTGCATTTAAATAAATCTATTCTTAAACAAATTTTTTGAAATTTTAAACACGATATTTAGGAAAAAGGTCTTGAATCACAATGGCAAATAAATCTATTGCAGGGCAACTAGCTCATGATAAAATCCTTCTTAAAATTATGGCATCTAATAGAGAAGTATGCAAAAGGAAAAAAGTATTTTCATGTGAGCATTTCATCAAATATATGTCGGGCATGCTTTTAACAATACACACCAGAACATAATCTCCTTACAGGATTACTGCTAACAACTTTAGTCACAGATCATTCCCTTAAACAAACATGTACATAAAAGCTTAATAGAAGCTAACAATCCTCGCAACAAACACGCATCAGACATCAAAAAAACAGAATCAAAACGAGAGTGATAGGAGAAGATACGAACCTTTTACAAGACAGCAAACTGAGACGGGTCTTAGATGCAATATCGAACTCCGACCTCGAACTCGCTACCTTAGACGATTGTTAGTCACCGGAATAAGCAAATAAACCATTGTAATGGCTAAAAATACAAAGAGAGCTAGAGAACTTTGTTTTTTAATTAGAGGAAAGGAAATGCACTAACAGAGGTGGCTGAAAACTCTCGACTTTAGGGTGAAAGTGGGCGGCTCTAGGGCTTAAGGTTAAAGAAGGGGGCCGAAGCTTGTGGGTTTAAAGAGAGGTGCAACAGCTCCAAAAGCTCTTTTTCCAGTATATTTCAAATGCAAGTATTTATAGGTGAAGAAGTAGGGTTCATGGGCGGGATTTTTACCTCTAACGTTTGAAATTAAGAGCGTGAGGTTTCGAACAGTAAAATACGTTCATAATTTAATGAGCGATATTTGAGTAAATTTGTTTCAGATTTGCTTGAGACTTTGAGCAGATTTGTTTCAAATTAATACCCAAAATGGTTGGGATGTTGTGCAGCAAGAAAAAGAAAAAATGGAGAAACTCCATGTGAGCAAAGAGAGAAAAGATTCCAATTTAGACTTCTTGGCACTAGATTTGAGGCGAGAATTCATTGTAATTAAATGAAAATTTGAAATCCAAAAGAGATATACTTTAGTGATTTTGAATTTCAAAAAAAAATTGAAACGGTAGTGCTACCGTTCTACCGAAGCTTCACCAAATGGTGTGACATAATATCTGCAATAGAAATTCAAAGTAGGCAATATATAATGTTAATTGAAAAGACGGCAATGTGATTTGGAAAGTCAAAAAGTTTTTATGAGGAAAGAGATAGCTTTACACGTGAAAAGAGAGAGGGGCTATTCTTTTGGCTATATCTGAATAGGGGTACAAAAGTAATTTGCGCTAAAAAAATAATCTAGAACCAAAGAGTTGGTCATTTGATCATTCAGCAGATTGGATAGAATTGGTGGATCATTTGGAGTAATTTGGTCCTGTAGAATTAGTAGAAAATATTGGACTATTAACTAGGCCAATTTCCTTTCTTCCTTCCAAATTCTTTGGGCTTCTAATAGTCAACAATAATATTATAAAAAAAATAACTAACTTATTTATTATACCTATTCGCAATTACTCATGTTTAAATAAAATATTAATCGTAAGATACTACCATATTTATTAAATATAACTTCATAATAATTAAAAGTTATTGCAAAAAATATTTTCACTAGTGATATAAATGAAATAAAAATGCTTTTCGTGAAATGTAACAATAAATACGATTAAGGTATGAATGATAAAGACGATAGCTATAGAATTATTATTATTATTATTATTATTATTATTATTATTATTATTATTATTATTATTATTATTATTATTATTATTATTATTATTATTATTATTAATAGCTATAATAGTTTTAATAATAATAACAAATAGGCATAGTTTGTGTAAATAATATAGTAGAATAACTACCTTATATTATTAGTGATATTAGAAGCTTAAAGAAATAATTTGGAAGGAAGGAGGGACAAAATTGGATGTCAACATCTGCCCCTCTTTGACCTGAGACGATCAAAGAGTGTTCGAGCAAAGAATATTGACTTAGTAGCCAATTTTGTTACGACCATCAAGGTTGGAATGGGACAAAGGAGACGTAAAAAAAATGATTGCGGTCGAACTTCGGTTCCGAGTTGCCTACATATCTCGCGTTTCACGAGAATTAGGTCATATGTAGTTCAAGACTTATGGCACCCTAGAGTAGGACTCGACTATTGATGTAGATCTAAAAATGTTACCCCAGTGTCGAATAATAGAGATATTGGGTACCATGATTGAAAGAAAGATGTTTGAAATAAGAATTTAATTATGAATTTTGACAGTCGAGCCGAACGGAGTTCGAAGTAGATCCTTGACCTTTGTTGGAGAGTTTGGTATTCCTCTCCAACAAATTGTCCCAGTTCACTGCTAAGATATAATTTCACGTTGCGCTATATTTCCTGCAAAGCTTAACAATGCTGAAAAAATTCGTTAGGAAATAAGATGCAATATGCCCAAAAAGTAATCTTATGAAAATAATATTTAGGCGTCAATTCGTAAGAAATGCGAATTTATTGTGCAAATATATAAAAATATAATTTTATGGTGACATATTTCATGGTCGGCAACGGCACATGAAAATTAATTTATAAAGATAAATGCATTTGAAAATGATTTATGAAAGATATATTTTGGCAATGCTTATGCAAGCGGGACCACTCGGGTCGAAATAAATTAAAAGTCCTTTTGAGGAAGGATTAACTTCAATATCCTATTTGAGGGAGGATTGACCTGATACATCCTATTTGAGGCCGAAAGACCCGATATATCCTATTTGAGGGTGGATAGACCCGATATATCCTATTTGAGGGTGGATGGACCTGATATATCCTATTTGTGGGCGGATAAACCCAATATGTCATATTTGAATATGGACAAGCCTGACATGTAGTGCTTGATTTGTAATTATAAAGATTAATATGATGCGGTGCAAAGAGCTTGATATGGTACATAAAGCTTGATCAGGTGCCAGAATTATAATAACAATATTCAGGGTGCGATGCAAAGAGCTTGATGCAGTAGCGAATATCCTTGGTGCGGAGAGCTTGATGCAGTGCCTTTACAGAAGAAAATATTTAAAGAGCGGTGCCAATAAATTAGAAATCTGCATGTTGAAGTTTATTATTAGTAAATTCCTGCACTCAAATAAAATTATGAGTTTCAAAACATAATTTGCGATAACTTTTCTTGATCGCCATGTTGCACCATATTTTCTTCAAGGCAAATTCGTCAGAAGATATTGAAATGCAATGTGCTGTAAAATAATCTTATGAAAATGATACCTTTTGGGAGTTTACTTATACAATGCGGCCTAGTCGGCCAAAATGATTTGATAAAAATAACTTTATGCCAATGATGATTTTCAACAATAACATGCAGTTTATAAATGTGCTTTGCAATGATTTATAATAATAACGCATTTCAGTAATGACAACATGACCATCTAGGTTGAAATAAATTAATGAGAAGCATGTGAATATATGCTAAAGTGTCCTGTTGTTGAGGCGGACAACCTTAATATCCTATTATCAGGTGGACTACCTCATGTCCTATAATCATGCGGACTACCTCATGTCCTATTATCAGGCGGACTACCTCATGTCTTATTATCAGGCGGACTACCTCATGTCCTATTATCAGGCGGACTACCTCATGTCTTATTATCAGGCGGACGACCTAATATCCTATTAATCAGGTGGACTACCTCATGTCCTATTATCAGGCGGACTACCTTATGTCCTATTAATCAGGCGGACTACCTCATGTCCTATTATCAGGCGGACGACCTCATGTCCTATTAATCAGGCGGACGACCTCATGTCCTATTATTAGGTAGAAAAACCTAGATGCATGGCGCTTGATTTACATTAGTGCGGTGCAGAAGCTTGGTGCGATGCTTGATTTGTAACTGTATAATGTCGTGCAAAGAGCTTGGCATGGTTACTTCGAAGTAACATATACTGACGGTGCAATGCAAAGAGCTTTGTGCAATGATTTTGTAATAGCAAATGGTACGATGCAGAGAGCTTGATGAAATGCCTTTGTAGTAGTGAATATTCCTGGTGCATTGCTAACAATCGTTGGATCTTCATACTGAAGCTTTGCAATTAATAAATTCCTACACTCAAAGAAAATTTATAAGTTTCAAAGTTTGATTTGCGCTTGCTTGGCTTCATCCTTTGCTTTGCATGAACTTTGCGACTTTTGACTTGATGATGAGCTTTGCGATAGTATGTAATGTTTGATAATAGCTAAAAAATGCCCCTGCATTACTCAAAGCAAATTCGTTAGTATAAAATAAAGTGGTTGCCTTGCATTGAACGTTAAAGTTTGGCTTTGAATCTGCAACTTGTTGCTATGGCATTCTGGAATTTGCTGTTGCACTTGTAATAAATATGTAGCTCGAGATTTCATTTTCTTCTTTGCCGAATGATGAGGATCCTTCTGCAACATCTGCTCCGATTTTGGCTTTTGGGGTAAATAGGATTTTTATTATGATGAGACCGAACCCATAAGGCTGTCTACGTATCCCCTCTTAAATGAGAATCAGGTTAAAACGTAATTCATTACAAAAGCAAGGCATGATTAAAAAAATAGCTACTCATATTATGATAGTTACAAAATGATAATGCCAGCAATGCAAGGTGAACTAGTCCAAACGACGTTTTTTCTTCGGATGCCCAACCACGCTCGGTGTATTGCTTGTGCTGCTGCTAATTGCATTTGAGATATTTGTTCCAACTGGTAGGTGCACTCGCAGTTTGTTAGCATCAATTAAATTCTGAATCTTATGTTTTAATGCTAGGCATTCTTCTGTATCATGACTTTGAGCATTTGAATAATAAGCACAATACTTTGACGGGTCGAATAATGGATGAAAAGGGTCAAAATCCTTAATTTTATTGGTTGCATAATTCTTGAGGCATTCAATCGAGAGAATATGCTAGAGATTGGTTCACTCAGAGGTGTGAAGTCACGGGGCTTCCTTTTCTTGGATTGGTGAGAAGCGACTTGTGCTTGATGATGTTGATGGTGAATGCTTTGTTGGCGAGGAGGCTGGAGATGCATGTTACGGGCATTAGAGATGGCATAATTTTGCAAGAGCTGGTGATCATGATGGCATTGTGGTTGATGCATAGTCATGGTAACTGAGGCATTTTCCTTCTCTTTACCTTTCCAGCTTTCTAGCATCTCTAGTTTTAAAGCATGATTGATAGTTTGCATGCTAACCTTTCCTTCTTTGATGCGGCTTTCAAGGAAGTCCCCGACTCTAATCAAGTATGAGAAATTACGTACGTTCGCAGTAGCCAGCTTTTCATAATATATGTCATTTTGAATGTCAATGAAGATTGAAATTAATTCTTTCTCGGATAGTGGAGGGTGCACTTTTGAAGCTTCAACTCTCCACCAGATTGCGTAATCCTGAAAAAATTCACGTGGCATTTTCTCTATTTTGTACAGGCTATGCATGTCTATATAGATTCCAAGGTTGAACTCATATTGCTTTACAAATCGTGAGCCATATCATCCCACGTGTGCCATTTGCTAAAATTTTGTTTTGTGTACCAAATAAGTGCAGGTCTTGATAAGCTTTGGATGAATAACTTCATTCGAATGGCCTCATTGTGCCCAATACCAAGTAACCTTCTACAATAATCCTTTAAATGAGTGATGGGATTTCCCTTCCCGTTGAAAGTATTAAACTTTGGCATCTGGTACCCTGGTGGGAGTTCTGTATCTGGTTGCAGGCATAATTCTTCATATCATAGACGTTGGTAATTTCTTGATTGCAATTCTTCTCCAATGGCTTTATTTAAATCACGAAGTTCTTTATCCAAATCTATACGGCAAATTTGCTCGATTTCTTTTCCACGTCTCTTATGAGGGCATACTACTAGTTGGTTTTGCTTGCTTCCTTCAAATGGAGTTGTGGTTTTGGGAGGCATTATCATGACTTGATTGGGGTTGCAGGTTAATGGAACTTATTTAGAGATTGCATAAGTATGAGCTGGGCAAGGAGATATGGTTAAGAAAATATTTCGGTTTGAGCTAGAAGCAGAAGTTGCATTTGGAAGAAGGTTGAAAGTTCTTCCCAGATTAACCAACAGGTTTCTTCGTACCACATTTGCCTCGGTATCTTCATCTTCTGCTTGCAACGATCTCATACCAATACTGAATGCTTCAAATCTGTCTACCATTATAGTTTTGTCCTTTATGCAGATTCGTAGCCAAAACAGTGTTCAGTGCTAGGCAGCCTTTAAAAAATTGAAACCTTACGAACAAAAATAAAGTGTTAGCGTATTCATCATAATGAAATAAAAGTGTAAAAATAATAGAATATATGATTATATAGATTAATCCATGTTATGGTTAAGTATGAGCCTTAAACTAGATACGATGGCCTATGTTGCAAAATAGATGGACGAGAATGACTTGTTATCTAGACTTGGACATGAAATGATTCTAAATTTATTTTTAGCATTGGCAAATCATAAAGTTGTCGAGGCCTAAAATATGGTATCAACCAATTTGAGACTTATGGGATAGTACTTCGACTCAAGTGCCAAAACTTGGAATTAACAGGTGCGTGAAGATTAATCTCGACGATCTAAAATAAGACGATACAAAAACTTGAATTGAATAGGTAAAAAACTTTAGAATAATTTGACGATGCAAATTGACCAAAATAGTGGCCTTCTATTGTTCGGTGGATTGCGCAAGTTTGGACATCTACCAATTTGTAAATGAGAATTGGCACAAAGGTTGAAACATGTAGAATAGTAAGTAGATTTTATGAAACATAGAGCTACGAGAAGAATCAAAGGTATGAATATTCTGTGAGGCACGAGTGGCAATATTTGAAAAATATGTAACTATTTTTTAAGAAAAGAATGCGAATAAAATTAACTCACGGATTAGATGGAAAAAAAAAATTCTAATTATGAAATATTACGCGAGTTTTTTTTTAAAAGAAGTAGGGATGATATCTTTCTATAGGGAGTAAGATGCTCATTGTAAAGAAAATTCTTAAGGCTAGTTTAAGGCACGAATATCGAGGAATTTCATGCAAACCGAGCTTGTTGAAGAGAATTTGCGGGCAAAATGTCATGAGTTATAAATAATAGAAGATTGTCCAAAGACTAAAAAGATATATTAATTAGACTCTAGGAAATGAAATGGGCCTAAGAGAAATTTGAACTTAAGTAAATACCTAAATGGTGCTCAAGAGTTGTTAAAAAGCTAAGCGAGACAATTTCAGGAAGATAATATAAAATAAGCAGAAGAATATATATATATATATATATGAACAAACAAAATATATATTTAAATAAAGATGTAAACAAGTTGGATAGTTAATACTTCCTTTTTCTGAAAAAACAACAAATAATGTTAGTAAAAATAATAAAGTCTAGCAAGCAACACAAAGAGTAAACAAGTAAGAAAGTAGGCAAGCAAAGCATGTGACACATTCCAAAGCAAATAATAGCGCGTTCTAATACGTGGGGAGGCCTCTTTGTGCCAGAGGTAGGCCTAACGTATATTTGAAAGATAAATATGTCATTATGTATCATCTCATTGATGTAAATTAATTGAATAAGTCTATGTTTCAAAAGAAAATAAAGTATAATAGTAAAGTATGATTGATTAAACCTTTTTTTTTGTAATAAAAGATCAAAAGAAAGTATATATTTCCATCTATGTCAAAACTTCTCACTGATTATGTCATTTGAAAATTTTAATACATATCATAGAAATAATGACTATGCTCCTTTACCTAAGATTTAATTAATTTAGAGAAAATGGTCCACATAATTAGCATGTTAACCCTTCAAATAGTGCACATACACGTGATAAAGTGTCACTTGGGGGTTTAAACCCACTTGGACATTTAGGTAAGGTTAACTAATGGATTTAATACATTTCGAGTATTAAATCACCTAAGGTTCAAATGATGCATGCTCTTAAAAGGGTTTCGGTTTAGCTCTATCTTAGGCTGACTAAGAATGGGTTTTGCTAGACTGGTCATCTCCCAAGCGGACAACTCGAGAGTGGAATGCCCATGGCTATCGATTGCACTGCTGATCGACTTACCCACGAACTTTCCCCTAAAAGGTGTTTTAAATAGTGCACGGCTGCAAACCACATAACCGATAGGTGTGTGCTTTGTGTGAATTTTCCAGAAGTGGAGAAAGTGAAACGGAATGACAATTTATATAAAGCAATAAGAACAGATAAACAATTCATAAAAAACAGTTTATCATATAAAGGCAAATAAGCATCATAAAAACACACAAATCAATTTTTATTATTAACCTAAGTTTGTTAAGGTTTAGAACCTAGCATCCCAGCAGAGTCGTCATGCTGTTATACCCCATTTAGCACAGGTCAAATTAGAGTATAACATATTGGTAATTGAGGTTTAATTAATTAAAGAGAGTCGCCACCTAATTATTTTAAAGGTGAATTAGGACACCTATTATAGCTAAGTAATGCTTAAAATTAACTCTGTTTTTTCGGTCTGCTTAACCTTAAAAATTCTAGGTAAGGGTTCTAGTTAATCCTATAGGGAAGGTTGTTAAATCACCCTATATGATACGTTAATTACGATTAACCGGCCAAACTTAGGTTAATTAGTTAACAAAAAGATATTTTATATATATATATATATATATATATACACCTTTGACTAAAAATTGGATTGAAAGCTATCAAAATTGATTAAGAAGAACCTGACTTTCGGTTTTGGAAAACGGTCCAAATTACCTTTCGAAAACAAGTTTTACAAAGAAGCCATTTGCTGCTAACAAGTTTTAAATCTAAACTTATAGGTGTTAAAGAAAGATAAGAGTGGAATTTCAAGAACGTCCCTGGTTTAAGATGCTATCTCCAAAATTAAGTACCTTGTAAGAAAACATTAGTATAGTAAAATGTTATTAATTAAGCTACTATTTTAAAGAGTCCTTAAAATAGGCGTGGTGTTCCAAGTGATAAAATAAGTACGATACTCATAAATAGGGTGAGAATACTAAGTGATTAAATAAGACTCAGCTATTTCTTCTATGTTAATAATAGGCTCCAACATAAAATTTTAAAAATTAAGAAAACACAAAAAAAGTAAATCGGCAATTACAAAACTTAAGATAAAATAAGTTATAGGAACAAAAAGAAGGACGCCATAGGCACCCCCAAGCGTTTCGCTTGTTTTCCTTTACATTCTAAGGATATGTGTCGTGTATTAACTCTATCTGGTGGTGATTAGACTCCATCTTTACGAGTCCCGAGGACTCCATATGCGGGTATTGGAGTCTAGCATTAAGACTCCATTATGCTCCAAAGTGTACATATAAAGGAAGAGAGAAATAAACAATTAGCAAAATAACATAAGAGTTCAATTAACATATGCAAGGATAAGAAGGATTAGAGAGTGGAACTTGATTCTAAACAATATATCAAGATTAAAATATGCAAAGACGTCCTAGTGTCAAATTATTTTTTGAAATTCCAGCCATACTTCTTGTCATCAGACAAACACACAACTATAGGAAAGATAATATTTCCAGCTATTTATTTAGACTAGTAGCAAAAACTCTCAAATGACTAAAATATAAACTTCCATTGATAATCACACAACAACATGAACATATTTCATCAAGACGTAAATTTTATCTTAACAAAGTCATCTACACTTTTAATTCCAAATACTAACCAGCACAAAGAAATAGGCACAAAAGTTCTATAACTATGTTTCCGTGACGACCAAAAGGGTCATCAACTGTTTTCTTATCCATTCTGTGCTTCCGAGGCCTTGAAAACCTCATTTAGAGTCGCCTCAATTTGTATGCGCAGTCCGGACGCGTAGCCGAAAAGCTTAAATATGAAATTCTGTGAAAATGCTAAGTTTTGAGTTTAAAATGAATAAATTTAACTTCGGTCAACATTTTGGGTAAATGGACCCAGACTCGTGATTTGACGGTCCTAGAGGATCCGTAGGAAAATATAGGACTCGAACGTATGCCCGGAATCGAATTCCGAGGTCCCGAGCCCGAGAAGTGAATTTTTTAAAGGAAATTGTTTTTCTGAAATTGTTAAGGAAAACTGAAATGAAATTTGATTAGAATGTGTTGGTATCGGACCCGTATTTTGATTCTAGCGTCCGATATAGGTCTTATATATGATTTAAGATGTTTCTGTAAAGTTTGGTTAAAATCGGACGTCGTTTGATGTGTTTCGGACTTGAAATCTTAAATTTGAACTTGATGAAGTTTTTGGAAAAACTCTTAATTTTGAGGTTTGATTCATTATTTTTGAGGTTAGTTTCGCAATTTGATCGTATGGATAAGTTCGTATGATGTTGTTGAGTTAGTACGTGTATTTGGTTAGGAGCCCCGAGGGCTCGGGAGTGTTTCGGAGTGATTTTTGGCCTTAGTGGTGTTGCAGATTTTCTGATGTTGTGCACAGGGAATTTGTTCTTCGCGTTCGCGTGGACTCACTCGCGAACGCGTAAGGCAAAATTCTCAGAAGTTCATTTTCTTCTCCGCAAACGCGAAGTTGGTGATGCGAATGCAAAGCTGAGGGGGGTAGACCCTTCGCGAATGCGTCCCTTCTCTCGCAAACGCGTAGGGTACAGGGGGAAGGGCCACCAAATTTTTTCAACGCGAACGCGGCTCATGGCACCCGAGCGCGAGGCTCGAGGAGATTACTCTCCGCGAACGCGAAGGTCTTCAGACCTGGACCATCGCGAACGCGAGCTGTCCATCGCGAACGTGAAGGCAATTTTGCCCAGTTATTTTAAAACCCCAAAACAAAACCATTACGGGATTTTCAAAAAACTTCACAAACTCCTTCTTCTCCAAAGTTCTAGGGCGACTTTTGAAGCATCTTTTCACCAATAACTCGTGGATACAATCGATTTGGAGCCAAATTCGAGAGGAAAAGCGGTAATTGAGGATTGATTTGGCCGTGGAAGTTTGAGCTAAGTGTTTGGTCTAACCTTAGCTTGAGGGATTAGGAGTTGAGTCTTATTTTCTACGTTCTAATTGTCGAGTACGACGTATAGGCATGGTGACGAGTATCTATACGTTGGTGTCTAGCATGACCGTGGGTCTTTATATTGCGGATATTCTGATTTTTGTTGTATCTTTCATGCCCTAAATGATGATTTCTATATGTTGTAAAAATAATGTGAAAGAAATTGTGATCTTTGAACTTCGAGGAGCATTGACTCGAGTTATAATACGAATTGTGAAAGTATATGAGATAATTGAATCCTTTGTAGCATTGACTCAAGTGGTAAAGTGAGTTATAAAGTAAGAAGTGAAAGAAAGAGAAAATTATTGAATTGTTCCCTTGCTGGGATGTTTGTTGCTTTGTTGATTATCTCCCTTGCCGAGATGTTGAGATTTATTGATATAGTTCCCTTGTCTGGATTTAGCTTTTTAATTGTATTCCCTTGCCGGGATTTCTACCATTATTTGTCTACTCCCTTGCCCCTTTGTTTTTTATTGTTGTTTCGGTGAGGAAGAGTGTTAAAGCATGAAGGGTGATGTCGTGCATTGTTTGCTATTATGTGGAAAGAGTGTAAAGCACGAAGGGTGATGTTGTGCCATACGATGTACCATTCCGTACCGATATTTATTGACTATGTGGCGAGGAAAGAGAGTAAAAGCACGAAGGGTGATGTCGTGCACATTATTATGATACGATTGATTTGGTGAGAACGAGAGTAAAAGCACGAAGGGTGATGTCGTGCACATTTTTATTATAAATATTGTTTGGGTGAGGACAAGAGTAAAAACACGAAAGGTGATGCCGCGCAAATCATTGAATTTTGATTCTTGTAGATATTCTGGCTTTGTTGTTTCTTTCTTTTATTGAGGTTTTCTATTTGGAATTGTTACCTCCCCACAACATGTTTTTCCCTTCCCACATTGACTGATTATTTCATGTATTTCTTTTCCGATGTACATATAGATATTTGAACTGCACAGGTTATTTGGTAGTTTGATCCTAGCCTCGTCACTACTTCGCCGAGGTTAGTCTAGGTACTTGCCAGCACATGGGGTCGGTTGTGCTGATACTACACTCTGTGCTTTTTTGCACAGATCCAGGTATTGGACAGCAGCAGTAGCACGGGAGCCAGCCTTCAGTCCACCGAGACACCGAGGTAGCCTTGCAAGCCTCTGCAGGCCCGACGTCTCCTCTATCTTATATTTCATTCTGTTATCTCCATGTATTCGAGACAAACAGTGTTATATTTCTTTCGAACGGTTGTATTTAGTACTCTTAGTAGTTCGTGAGTGATGTGACACCAGTTCTTGGGTAGAGGCATATGTTGACTTTCGCATTATTGTTCAGCTTATTTAATTTAGGTCTTCCGCTTATTTATTTAATTTTGTTGTTTCTATGCTATCACTGATAATTGTTAAAAGAAGCAATTTGTTAATGACAAAGGTAGTAAAGGGTTGACTTGCCTAGTTCTCGTTAGTAGGCGCCATCACGACTCCCGAAGGTGGGAAAATCTGGGTCGTGACAAGTTTCCTAAAGAATGAATTTTGGATACCTAATACTAAAGTAAATCAAGTCTTCACTTAACAGTGTGCATTTAAATAAATTGATTCTTAATAAAATTATTTAAAATTTTAAGCACGATATTTAGGAAAAAGGTCTTGAATCACAATGGCAAATAAATCTTTTGCAGGGCAACTAGCTCATGATAAAATCCTTCTTAAAATTATGGAATCTAATAGAGAAGTATGCAAAAGGAAATAAGTATTTTCATGTGAGCAATTCATCAAATATATGTCTGGCATACTTTTAATAATACACACCAGAACATAATCTCCTTACAGGATTACTGCTAACAACTTTAGTCAGAGATTATTCCCTTAAACAAACATGTACATAAAAGCTTAATAGAAGCTTACAATCCTCGCAACAAACACGCATCAGACATCAAAAAATCAGAATCAAAATGAGAGTGATAGGAGAAGATACGGACCCTTTGCAGGACAGCGAACTGAGAAGGGTCTTAGATGCAATATCGAACTCCGACCTCGAACTCCCTACCTTAGACGATTGTTAGTTACCAGAATAAGCAAATAAACCATTGTAATGGCTAAAAATACAAAGAGAGCTAGAGAACTTTGTTTTTTAATTAGAGGAAAGGAAATGCATTAACAGAGGTGGCTGAAAACTCTCGACTTTAAGGTGAAAGTGGGCAGCTCTAGGGCTTAAGGTTAAAGAAGGGGTCCGAAGCTTGTGGGTTTAAAGAGAGGTGCAACGGCTCCAAAAGCTCTTTTTCCAATATATTTCAAATGCAAGTATTTATAGGTGAAGAAGTAGGGTTCATGGGCGGGATTTTTACCTCTAACGTTTGAAATTAAGAGCGTGGGGTTTCGAACGGTAAAATAGTCGTTCATCATTTAATGAGCGAGATTTGAGCAGATTTGTTTCAGATTTGCTTGAGACTTTGAGAAGATTTGTTTCAAATTAATACCCAAAATGGTTGGGACGTTGTGCAGCAAGAAAAAGAAACAAATGGAGAAACTCCATGTGAGCAAAGAGAGAGAAAAGATCCAAATTTAGACTTCTTGGCACTGGATTTGAGGCGAGAATTCATTGTAATTAAATGAAAATTTAAAATCCAAAAGAGAGAGATTTTGATGATTTTGAATTTCAAAAATAAAAATTGAAATGGTAGTGCTACCGTTCTACCAAAGCTTCACCAAATGGTGTGACATAATATCTGCTATAGAAATTCAAAGTAGGCAATATATTATGTTAATTGAAAAGACGACAATGTGATTTGGAATGTCAAAAAGTTTTTGTGAGGAAAGAAATAACTTTACACGTGAAAAGAGAGAGAGAGGGGCTATTCTTTTAGCTATATCTAATTAGGGGTACAAAAGTAATTTGCGCTAAAAAGAATAATCTAGAACCAAAGAGTTGGTCATTTGATCATTCAGCAGATTGAATAGAATTGGTGGGACATTTGGAGTAATTTGGGACTGTAGAATTAGTAGAAAATATTGGGCTATTAACTAGGCCAAATTTCCTTTTTTCCTTCCAAATTCTTTGGGCTTCTAATAGTCAGCAATAATATTAAAAAAAAAATAAGTAACTAACTTATTTATTATACCTATTCACAATTACTAATGTTTAAATAAAATATTAATCGTAAGATACTACAATATTTATTAAATATAATTTCATAATATTTAAAAGTTATTGCAAAAAATATTTTCACTAGTGATATAAATGAAGTTAAAATGCTTTTCGTAAATGTAACAATAAATACGATTAAGGTATGAATGATAAAGACGATAGCTATATAATTAATAATAATAATAATAATAATAATAATAATAATAATAATAATAATAATAATAATAATAATAATAATAGCTGTAATAGTTTTAATAATAATAACAAATAGGCATAATTTGTGTAAATAATATAGTAGAATAACTACCTTATATTATTAGTAATATTAGCAGCTTAAAGAAATAGTTTGGAAGGAAGGAGGGACAAAATTGGATGTCAACACATGATTGAAGAGATGAGATGAGAATATGTTTCTGAGACTAGATAAGCACTCTCATTATGTGTGAGTGGGGGATGTAGAAAATAGAGTCCACCCATAAGAGGTGCTCTTAGGGACTACTAGGGCAAAGCATAGTATTTAGTAATTATCGTAAACCTATCTATCCCTAAAAAAATAGGAAACAGTATTTTCTATGATCTTTTCTCTCTCTCAATCCAACATAGGGTTTAGACTGTAATTTAGGGGGTTGATCCGATACACAGTGTCAACCCCTACAATCAGTAATTTCAGTCGTAGTTCATCCGTATTCAGATTTTTTTTCTCTTTGACGAAGAATAGTAAGTTCTCGTTTTACGATTTACGTACTAACTAATGTGTTTAGAGTATCGCATTCCCTTCACAAGTGTTGCATGACTTATTATTACTGGTGTATTGCTCATCATTTGAGATAGTTTGGATGTCAATTCTATGAGTAGAGAGTTCTTAGATCCTATACTAAAATCGCGATCGATGGAGTACTCTCTCACATTTAACAGCCTCTCAAATTTAGGATTTGAAGGTAGTGGGCGTCATAATTTCTTTTAACGTATACCTTGTAATAACTAATACGAAATTTATTAGGAGTGTTGATTCGGGTTTTTTGAGTTTATTCATGTCAACGTAATAGGTATTTTTTATTTGTATATATAAAAATTATATCTCGGATATAAAAAACAAACGTAATTAGTATTTTAAATAAGGAATCACACATTTATTCTATAACAAGTAAAATTAACATTTTATTAGAAAACTACATCTTTTCTGTATATTAAAAATTAATTTATACAAGTAAGATAGCATCTTCAATAAGAAAATTACATCAATCAGAATAAGAAAATTTAAAAAAAATATATGTTTAATAAATAAATTCTACCCCATAAGCAAAGAATTAAATTAACTACAAATTCTCAAAAATCAATATCATAAATCTCATATTTTTTTAAGCAATGTTTACGAAATTTTCATCATAAGTTAAAAGTAAATTATATTAAATAACCATAGAATAACACAAATTTTTATGATATAGTAAAACGATAATTTTTTTGTTATCTCAATCCAAAATTTTTATTAAGACCCCAGTTTTCAGATTTGAAAGAAGAAAACTCATAAATTTAAGATTAAGAGGAATGCTTATTTTATAAATGTCAAAGTTTTGGAGTCTTTTTTTGTGAGTGTTCTAGATGGAGACCACATAAAAAATAAGGAAATAAAAGCACAAAGAAAAGGGAAAGTCGGACTAGGTTCAAGATATTCTAACTTGAATTTTACACACGAGAAAAGCTTTCAAAAAGATCTACCAGTCACGTCACCTTTATCTAGTTTACGGTTGCAGGTGACAGGAACAAATGTTTAACCTAATTTAAGGAAATTTAAAGATAGGCATGTAAAAATCTTATCATCTTAACGGGTGTCATGCCACTCCTTCCTAAAGGGGTGGATCCGCCACTGTTGTTTACTCTCTTCACACGCTTGGACCACGCTCTGATACCATGCGGAAAAAAAATCTTTGAGATGATTTTCTATATTCAATATTCATATAATAGTTACAATGGTTGCTATATAGGAAGAAAACAAAGACATATATCGAAATAGAACCAATGGAAATAAAAATTAATCAAGCCTCATTCCTTTAATGTCTTAAACCGATTCCTAATTTTGCTCAATCTGTACAGCTCATTGCAACAAAATATTTATGTTTAAGTCTGCGACCATTCTTACAAGAGTATCAGCAGTTGTGGTGCAATTATCGCCTTTTTCACCAATAAATAAGTTCGATCATTCGTTGTGTTTAAGCACAAACTTAGCATTTAGTATAGGTCAAAAAGGAGCAAGAAATATACATAACGAGCAACAAACTGTAAAATACCAACAAGAAGAAAAAGAGAGGAGATTATATAGAAAGGAAATCAGAGCATGAAATAATGCGTTTCATAGAATTAAAATTGGTTCATAGAATTATTGAGGAGTATGTGTTGAAAAATGTGTTGGCGGTGAGCAATGACATGTGTTTCATTGAATCAAATTAGTTCAAGGACAATTAATTCAGAAGTTTCCCACTTCAGATCGTATGTTCCCCACCGTACAACTGATCAATAAATCACCTCCTCAAGGAATAATGATATATACATTATTAAACTGTTTATTTCTGTTCATTTTTTTGTATGAAAAAGAAAAAAAGACGCGAATAAAAGAGAAGAAATAGCCACGAAACGGAGCCCAACATGTTGGAAAAGTGGTTGTTATATACAAAAATAGGTCGCCTATATATTGACATATTCCTAATCATATGGCCACTTCAATATTCTGCCAGTTCATTTATTTTCAGTGTTTTTCTTAGTCTTTTTGTGCTTTTCAAATATTAAAATAAGATTGTCTTAATAGATACAAACTTTCAGAATGAGAAGAATTTTTTCGCTTTCTCCTTTAGTTTATACAGTTTCCTTGAAACGTCTTCTGAAGAAAAAAAAATGTATTTAAATAGTTTTAGCTTTTCTTGCAAGAACGACTAAATAGTAAAATAGGAGGATAATGACTGATTATAAAAAAGAAATATCCCGTGAAATTTTAATCAAAAAATCTCAATTTCACCATGTGAAATTTTGAATTATGCCTTCTAGGAGACCGAAATCCCTTGTATCTGTCGTTGGCGATTTTATCTAATTCATAAAGCATAATTCAGTAGGAAAGAAGGAACCGAGAACGTATAGATATAATTATTAATTATTTATTTAAGTGTATTTATGTTTACCCGTAAAACGGTACAGTTAAATTTATAACATGATTTACAGACAAACGAATCGATTTGATCTCAAAATGATAAGTAAATTAAATAAAATGTAAGATTTAGCGGTGAAATCGAGATAAGACAGCAAACAACTTGATTCAGGGAGCAAGGCTTCCGAAGGCAGCAATAAGAATATCAATAGACAGAAAATAAAGTATTATTGAGCTTAGAATAATGTATACTATAAGTTCGTCAGAAAATTCGTGTCCTACAATGGCTGTTGAATTCACTATTTATAGCTACTCATATGGAACAAGCTCTCAGGATCAAACCCCTCTTAAATGACAATTATCGGCAATTGATGAATGCGTAACTGCAGGCCATGAATGCCAAAATTCTCTGTAACGAATTATGTATTTAATACTGAGGAATATTCTTCATTGAATGTTATCGAGTGGCAAATATCCATATGTCCTCGTTAGCAATATTCCTTTCGGGATCTGCCGGGTACCAATCGCAATTGTTGTCTTGGTCTTGGTTTCCACTTGCTTCGTTTTTCGTCTGCCTCCGGTTCCACGTGTCTCTCTATGATTCGAGTATTGAATATGAATTAATTTTACCATATACAGATAGTCTCCCTGCTTTCCAGTGGCACATCTTTGTGTCATCGGGAAGATGGTAAAGATTCATTTCTTGGTGAAAAATTTTCCGATCCCTTCTGAAAATTTTCTGACTCTTGATTAGATGCACGTCTCTCCACATTTAATACCCCGAACACGTGTCACTCCACGATTTAGCAATATTTTTGCCGGTTCTCAAGGTAATAATGGCCACGATTTTAGCTGCCTATTTCTCTACTTATACACCTCATTCTTCTTCTTTTACCTTTCACAGTTCTTCAAACTCTCTCAACTTCTTTGCATCCAACTCTTTCTTGCTTTCACTCTTCTCTAATCTTCTTCTTCAAAGAACTCTTATTACCTTCTGCTAACCATGGCTTCCTCCTCCAAGAACTCAAATTCTCTTAGAAACAAAGAAAACACCGATGATGTTGTCCCTCCTACGGTGAGCACCATCATTCCCAGAAGACTCAACACAGCCAAGGACTTCGAAAAGAAGTTTCCTCCTACAAGCTCTCGTACGTGGGTTGTTGGCGTGTACTCTTCTTCCATCCGTTCTTCTAGCATTCCTGCTATGAAGGAGGATTGTGATTGCTATAATCTGAACATCATCGCTCTCGAACTGGTGGAGTGAGTAACATTCCCTAAGAAGGGCTTTATGTACGTTTATACGTACCCATTTACTTTGGGTGCATTTTCTTTGAGCAGAGGAATTAATCCCGTGATTTTGGAGCTGTGCCACAAATACCATATTTGTTTGGCACAAGTGGTCCTTCGGTGTGGCGAACGATAGCATGTCTACGGTGGTTGTGCCAGGAGATGAATGAAGAGCTTACCTTGGCTCGCATGAAGAACCTCTACTCGCCCAAGATTTCCGTGGGGAGTAATAAACTTTAGCAAATGTCG